TTCAATGAGAGAGCACAGTAATTGTTTTTTTATCGTTTTGAACGGGTGGAATCGCTTTACTGCGAACTAAAGAGTTCTAATTTGGATCGCAGTTCTATTCACTTTCAGTGCTGACAATTTACACGGAATAAACACTTCCGGTACCACCTGGTAAGAAATCGGCTCAGGATTGATTTAGTGGTATGCTATTTGACCTAACGCATATTTGTTGACGTATTATCACGTTTTGGCTCATCACAGCGACAAAACATATGTGCAAAAAAACCGCGTGTTAGCAGGAACCATATGCATGTACTATACATTGTAGCTAAATGTATGTCGGTTAGTAGATATTTAAAACAACCAAACTCCGTTACGTCGTAACCAATGAACAAAACATCGAGGTATACGAGTCAGTTGATATACTAGTCCGAGTTCCCTCTGGCCCTGACACCAGACCAAAACATTTTGACAGATTGGTTTCTGGTGTCAAAATGTCTAAGGCTGGTGTCAGGGCCAGAGGAAACTCGGTATATTGATGCACGTATACGTAATGGAGCAACAAATTCGGTATTCGAGATAACCGACCTCGTATTAATAAAGGTCGCCTGTAACATGTGTGATAATCGTCAAAATAGCTTCTTTAACTCCTCGAGACTATCCCGAACGCAACATTCGGAACTCTCTACTATATACACAAAAGTGTGTGTCCCATTGCTGTAAATATCATTGTAAATAGTGTCTACTCTTGGGTGTAGATATTTGAAATATTTGCAATAAAAGTAGACGCTTTGTGAATATTTGGTATCACGATATGCTTCTCACGAATTTATTATATTCTACCTTATCGAGGCAGGTAGGTAATCGGTTACAAACAATCAAGGTTGTGTACCGCAAGTCGACCATGGCCAGTGCGATAGTATGGTGGCATATTTCTGCCATCGACTTCCGACCTACGAGTTACTTATGTCGACTCGAAAGTATTTAAAGAGCCTCACTCGTTCGTTTCTTTCTCGGATACGTTTTCGTCGCCATCTCAACCGGGACCTCTTGGGGATGACCATTGAGAATAATTAACTTTCACAGTCCTCCTTCCCTACAATCTTATCGAATTATTGAAACCCTTATGCAAATCTGTCTCTCGGTATTTCTGACGGAGTACACTGTAATTTTCCCTTCCCTTCACGCTGTACGGTATCGCTTGTAATATAGTGTATTATTATCCTTGAAAAGGCAGACTCTAAAGATTCACTACGCATGACAGAACCTTAATAATGCGTAAATGTATGTAAAGCGTCTGTCGCTTTTTTTTGCCTTGATCTGATACTCTGTCGTATATTATAAAGCTCTCAATCCACCAGTGTGTGAAGGTCGCCACTGTGCACGGACAAATTAGATGCTATGTACAATCAATGTACAGGCAGGCAAAAGCACAGGGTCCTGAGAACTAAATGCATGATTTGTGTTTGGTGGGTCTATCCTGCTGTGTAGTGAGTAATATTAGATATTTAAAGAAATTAAGATCAATGTTCGTTTAAAAATTGCCACCTTCGATGTAATCATTATTTGGAGATGGGATGGAGTAGGGGAGTTTGGGATGGGTGGGAGTTGACGATGAAGGGTAATTATACCGAGTGTTGGTTACCCTCCTTACACATCAGGATATCTTCGAAACATACATGCTGTAATCAATTCACAGGTCCCTGTGTTGCCAAACACACATTGGCGACAAACTGCTCCAGATGCTGGTGGGCAACCATTACGCCTTCTCTGTGCTTCCTCTATGCCGTCATCGGCGACTAATGAATCACAATGGAGGCAGAAGTATCACCCATGCAGAATGACGGTAACATTTGCTACAGAACGTCGTATTTATTATGTGGCGATCATTGGCCGATCATTGTACATCCATTTTGTTAACCACGGCGATGCTTGTGCCTCCCGTATGTCTCATTTGAGCCACCATTGAGCAACCAACTTCCTCGGCGGCCTATGTGCGACTGTTTTGAACATGTTCAAAAATTTACGGTGACCATGGCGTCCATGGCGTCCCAGGCGTTGTCTCAACATCATGTGTACCACCTTTGAACGACATAGGCAACCATTCGGCCTCCTTTTAGTCTCCAACGGAGATCTGATCAGTTTTATAGTCGCACAAGGGAGGCCCAGATGCGCCATCCTGTGTTAAGGGGTATTAGTGGACCCCATATGTGGTCCAGGGATTTCGCTCTCTAGCGTTCTCTACACGAAACGTAGACCGTAACACATGGACTTTCTGCACATCACGTATATGTAAGAAGATGTCTTCAGACAGCCACCGTATAGGAGAGTCTAATTCCTGGAGTTTCGAGCGTGGGTAAAATTATTAGGTCTATTTATTTTCGGGTTATACGCCATCGCAGTATTGCTATTTCTGGAAGAGCAGATATCGGAAGGGACCCGGAAAGCGGGAGTCAGGATTGCTGAAGTCGACAGTGCGGGAGTCGTGAAACGGTGTGGCATCAACCTGCAATGTGTTGCACAAGCGCAAGCTCTGCTGAGACGGTTGAATCCGGACACGGGAAACCGTCATTTAAGATGGCGGGAGTCGCAAGTCAGAATTTTAGCCACAGTTGTCGACATCATATCTTTAGTCGGAGACTTCTGTTTATCAGATATATATATCAGACAAGAATCACACCAGTGTGCCCCTGTTGGATACGTAGTGTAAGTTTAAACTCCGCATTTTAATATCAGATTGTATATCGTAATTTCTTACGTGTTGCCCGCGGGCTATCCGTATTTAAACATTGAAAAATGCCCAAATGCGGGCTATCTGATGAAGCGGGCATTCTAAGAATTGTTGCCAAAAAACTATAGAAACTGTGGGAGATGTTAGATATTTAAATGTAAACAAAAACACAACATTATTATAGAAATTCTCAAGTTTATCGTAGACCTTTAATTATGACTGAAATATTGGTTGATATTACTGGCAATGTATCATATCGTCTGTGTGAAGTTCTAAGTTGAAAACTCGGAGTTTACATTCGAATAATGAACGACGTTGTTGGTATATCAAGGATATATCAAGTAAACAACTCATAAAAGTATATCTAAATCGAAAGCATCGATTACTTACATGTTTACATAGCTGCAAGTACAGATGGGAGCACTTAAGTCTGAAGTGATAGTGGTATACATTACGTATGTTAGTTTTTATACAGCAGATAACCCGCGGTACATACAAATGAGTCAAACGAATCAGCATTACGGGGATTTGAACCCGAAACCTCTGCACTCTAAGCGGTCACTATTTGGGCCTCGCAACTGTAACAAAATATCGTGACTATTATCACATAAGCGTAACGTGAGTGGGAGATTTTATTATTGATGACCAACGATCCGATTTGATGACGTTTGTCTAGCTTTTAAAAGTCGGATAATAACATGTATGAGTGGTTTAAAGCTAGAAAGTGTTGGCTAATAAAGATATATATGTACATACATGTCCATGCAAATATACATGTGCAGTGATTTATATCTTAATAATTTTACGAACTTCGATTTTTTTTCGAAATATATTTGCATACTTTTGTAATCGAGCAAGGATCTCATCCTGAGCAGGAAATAATGAAGCAGACGAGTTTTTTTCATGAACAGCAGAACATGCATATTTAATCTATATTTCTATTTTATATGCGCAATAAATATTTACCGGATAATCATACCTTCAGTTTTTGACCAAGGCGTGGGAGTGTGAACGTGTAATGCGTAATGCTTTTCTGCGACCTATTGTAGTTTTTCTACCCAGTTGCTTTCGTAAGCTGTTTCAGAGCGTCTCTCAAACGGGCCTGTGAAGCTTTTGAAAGTAAAACTATTATAAAATTACTGTTGGAATGAAAGGTTTAGTGCTATGCAAATGTAAAACTCGTGTTTTAGAACGTCTTTCTAACTTTTGTGTGAACTTGTAAAGGTAAAAAATATGAAAAATAGCCATTTCTTTGAGGAAACTTGAAGTTCTATAAGAATGTAAAATCTGTCTGTAAAGCTTTCATTTTAAAGCGAGAAGGGCGATTTGTACTTCATTTAGGTTTGACGTACGTGAAATTGGGTTTGTATTTCACAATGACCTTGCATTTTCTGGGCGTAATAATGTTAACGTATTTTTTAAGAAATCACGCGACAAAACTTGTTTGACACTCGGCGTCACAAACATTTCGTGTTAACAACACATAGTTACGTAATAGCGCTCATAAACATGTTGTTAAAAAGACAGTTTTTTTCAAAATATTTTGATGAATACAGCTATTGTGGGATGATCCACGAGTTTTACACCCAAAAGGCCACTCTGGTCGGCGACAGGAGATAAGCGGTGGTATCACATTTCAACGTAATATACAATGTATACAGGAAGGTTTGGGGGTATATCAGATCAGAAGAGAGTAAGAGAACAAAATGTTTCCCTCTCCAACAATTTCGGTTTGTAGATTTGTTGGGATTCAGACGATTTTCTGTCACAAGGCAATTGTCACTCTTTTGACAGCATTTGTGACGTGTATGACCAGTGCACTCTAGAGATTTAGATTGTGTGATAACAGATAAAGCGAAAACTTTGTATACCAAATAAGATACAAAACCCCCACATGTCACGTTCGAGTATGTGATTTTTTTCCTCGTCCTTGTGTACTGAGCCGAAGGGTATACATTACCCTTGAATTTTGCTTGAGCGTAACATTATTTTTTCCCATATGTTTTTTGTTCTTCTTATCCCTGGTTTTCTTCCTTGCCAATTTTGTATCAAGAAGTCCATGGTGTGATATTTCAGTGAGATTACACTATATAATGACCCTTGTGTGGTTTCACTGGAGGTGGACACCATCGTTTGCCAACAAAGCACTTCCTAAACAAATGCTCGTACACTTGATTGGCAAATTTGCAGTTTGTAAAGATCCTTTGCCCACCAAAAATGATGTCGGTATCACAAAAATGTAAATCTTTATGCAACTTTTCAGCTTGTTGTTAGTGTGTCGATCAACATCCGCGATTTGTGTTGTCAACCTATCAAAACACGACCCACGTGCTAAGCCCGCCCACAACGCAGACACGTGGTGATCGAAATGAAACGGGCATGCGCAAATCTTGACTACATGTCGTCTGCGGAGAAGAAACATGCAGCGAATTTAAAATGTTCAGTAATTCCGAAATTCAAACAGCAGTCAGTGGACGTAAGATACAAAAATATTCAGCAGTAAGTTGTTTTTTTACATAAGACACAAATTTTACTAATGTTTCCCAATTGTTTTCATGTTGCTTTCTTAAAAGCATTTGTGTATTCGATTATGATGCTTTCAGTATTTTCCTGTTCGTTTTCCATTTTTCATCGTTTGCATCTATGTTTGATCCTTGCATTTAAACGTTTACGTACAAAGTACTTTTAATGTTTCTAACATATGTTTGCTTTAAACTGATGTTCTTTATTTTTATGTTCGTGTTAAATTGGTTTAACTTCATTGAAGCTGTTGTGAATCTGAAAGCGGCCTCCAGGAGGATTTAGTGCCGGAAAACCTCAGCTTCCTTGCAGTAAGGAGCCGCGGTGGCCAAGTGGTTGAGGCGTCTGCCATTCTGCTACCACTAGCCCTCCACCACTGGGTCGAGGCCTACGGGGGGAAATCGCCAGGTACTGACCGTAAGTCGGTGGTTTTTCTCGGGGAACTCCAGCTTCACCCATCACCCAACCCTGGCACGTCCTTAAATGACCATAGCTGTTAATAGGACGTAAAACACAAACAAACCAAACCAAAATCCTTGGAGTAATCGTGCTCTGAGAACACTAACCATACGACAGCCATCCAATACATTTTTTTTATTTCAATTTCGAAATAAACTTGTTTAGTGACTGTATACCTGTTGTATTTCCTTGCGTTTTTCGACAAATTGATAGGAATCTCATATTAACTGTACAAGGCTCAAAAAAGAAGTAGAAAAAAACTTTCAAAGATAAAATATTAGATTAGTATGATCCGACAACATTGTTATATGCAGTTTGCAGTGTAGCTTCAGTGCAGTTCTGGTAAGCCTGTTGTCAGAGTGCAAAAGAATGTTTAATGGGTCTGGGTTATAGTGTCCCGGCTATGATGTTTCAGCGATATGACACTTTTAAGTGGCACCTGAGAGCTCCGTCATCCAGGGACACCTTCTTCAAATGATCTTAAGTTGTGGCGAAAACGTAAACACTAAATAAAAAAATGCACGAACAAACTAACAAAACGACACAATTTAAAAGGTGTACTCAATGGGAATTTATATCTTAAAAGAAAACGGACTGAAGTCTCTCAAACGAAATCCCGAGGCTCTGGCGATTAGTGAAATCGACACCATATCTGTGTGACGTGAAACCTAATAAATGTCAATGGGATATCTGATGAAATGGAATAATAAAAAATAAAAACACGTCCTTGAAATCTGCACCGCACTCCACACTTGATTTATTTATCGTCTGATCATGAGCTAGAAAAGAAGTTGGAAATGTTTTTTTGACAGTTTAAGAAGGTGAATGCAATCTTTGATTTCTTATTGAGCCAAACCAATAAAACAGCAATAATTAGTCAGCCGCCTCGAAATCTATTGGGTCTGCTCGGGACACACAGATCTTCTGTGTAGGGGAGCTACATGTATAATACGTGTTTCGAGACTGGAAACCTTCAATTTCGATGGGGTAAATCAGAGAAAACTGAGCAACTCTTGCATCAAGTTTAGTCAACATCGTCCCATGGAACATAAGAAATATTGGAAAATGTCTCGGACATCAGAAACAGGTTTAACATTACGTGGCTATTGACCCGAAAACATGTTAATAATGAACAAGTCATAACAGGACAAGTTAAAATCCCTTCACTTATCCTAATTTAGTGGTCTTTCAAAGATTTCCCTTTATTTACCCTATTGATACCTTGCTTATGGTTCTTGTTGAGAGATACTTGGCTCTAGGATGTTTCATACTCAGTTAGGTTGAAATCCACTCGTCCATTCTAAGTTAAGGATTATACTTCTCCCCTATTGGGACCCTATCTGCACTCGGGGCACCACCTGCCGGGTATTATGGGTGGATGTGGGGCGAGATGGAGACCGTTTGGGTGGTAGGGACACAACTTTCATTACAAAACCTTGCTAAATATAAAATCATTTAATAAACCCTTTAGTTTTATTGTCTTTACACATATAATTCCTATTTGCACCTTACTTCTGCCATATCGGCTGTGGAGTTGGTCGGGTTGTACGCCATTCAAGCAATGGATCTTCTTGACCAAGGAATGTTTCAAACCTTTAAGGACGTGATACTATACTGGTCACTGAAAAGTTGACAACGGATAGACGAGATTCAAATATCAAACTTCATTTCATTAAACAAAAATGGCCATATGGCTTTGTTCATACACACTTATAAATCGTATAAACTGTAGCCTTGCGACAGTACATCAGAGGTGGGATGCATATTATTTGCATGACGTTAAATTAATAACAAAGGACTTCTTTTCAAAATTCAAAAACAGTAAGATTTATAACGTATATATAATATGTAAATATAAAGCCAGAAATGAAAATGCTTCCCTCGCTTCGCTGGGCATTATAGAGTTATTTTTTTCAGTAACGAATAAATTACAATACACCCCAAGACATTCACCGCATTTATTTAATAATGATTTATTCGTTTTTCCACACCCATAAGTATATGCAATACGTTCCAGGGATTATATACGAAACGGACTAAATGGCGTCCGTAGGAAAATGTATACCCGTTTTCTTCAACAGCATCCTCGAGATTCCAGGGGCTACGCCTACTAACGTTCTCTACAGGGAACACTAGTCAGAGAACAAGATACAAGATACACGAATTTTTAATTAAACGGCGCATATTTAAAACAATAAAACATTAGCACCGTAGTGCTATTCTTGCGACAAACATGAAGTATAATACTGATCACATGCAGGAAATTACAAAGACTATAGTTAAATGACAAACAAATATCACAGAAGCAATTTAACAAGTTAAACAAAGTACACAAGCAAAGCAACACATACATAATCACAGAATGGTAGCATAATAATTTGAATTGATAAGACTAGGTGTAAGTACTGAAAACTTGTATGTCACACACGTATTTCTAATACTTCTAATAATTCTAAAACGTTAGTTCGAGTAGCTCCGACGCTTCAGCAGTCAGTCCCCCATATTCTACTCTGGTACGAAATATTGTTTTGCATCAAATGGTGGGGGTCTTCCCCGAATACCAACTCTGCTTAAAATCACATGTTTACATAGGTGGTCAGTTGTGATGATAGTGAGTTATAGTCTATTGCAGTAAAGTGTACAGGTAAATTGCACAGGTAAATCAACTTCAAATTGTATTTGGAAGATCTCATTTAGAGCTGTTAAGAAAAGTTAAAAATGTTAAGTATTGGATTAAATTACAACGTTCTGATAACTGTGTGCTGAAAGCTTGTTATGATGATATGGTTGAAAACAAAGACCCCTGGATCCTTAACTTAAAACATGATCTTTCAAGAGTCGGCCTTGGATACATGTTTGTGACTGATAGTATTTATCATTCTAGTGAAGTATATAAGCAGCGATTATGTGATAGTTTTCAGCAAGATTGTCTAGAGAAAGTTCATTCTTCTTCTAAAGGAGTATTATATCAGCATTTAGTGGAAAGTATTAAATTGCAACCATATCTTCATAAGGCAATTAATTTTAATTATTTAAAACATATTTCTAAGATACGTTTATGTGCGCATGACCTGTCTATTGAACGTGGCCGTTACAGAGATATACCTAGAGAAGAAAGAAAATGTATTTTATGTAATGAAAATGATATAGAAGATGAATTTCATTTTATAATTAAATGTAATCGCTATTCAGACCTCCGGTCTAAATACATAAAGAAATATTATTTCAAAAGGCCTAGTATGTATACATGTGTTCAATTACTCAAAATCGAAAACACAAAAGAACTTAATAATTTAGGAAAG